CCGGGAGGTTCACACCAGCGAGGGCTCGGTTCACACGGGGTGACCCCTACGCTGTCCCCAGCTGCCATCAGCCGCCTCCCTTCTGGCAGAGGGGTGAGAGCACGGGGCTGCTGCACCTCTGGGGCAGGCGGATGGGGAAGGGCAGAGGGAGGTGGGGGCCAGAGCGACCCAGCTGAGGGAGGATCAGATAAGAGGAGGAATTTTGCCTGAAACAACTATTTTTAAAGTATCCTCAGGCATTGCAGGAATCCAGATCATGGGGGAGGCAGAGATCCAGCGTCCGATGGTGGAGGGTACTGGCGCGTTCCCAGCCGTGGTGGCTGAGTGCGGTGATACTGTACGGGCATCACCAGGAGTATTTCTCTTAGAGCTGATAAAGAAAGCCTAAGGCTGGCTGTGCCTGTGCGGGGTCTCAGGGATGAGTTCTTTTGCCCAGAAAATGGAATAAGTGATGGTCTCACACCTTCCCATAGGTTTTTGTGTGAGCGTAGGGGTGCGGGGCAAGTGGACGGGCTCAGATCATGGTGGGAAGAGCTGGAGCTGGTGGTTCCATCTGCAAGGTCCAGGGCAGGTAGAGGTGGTGTCCCCAGGGACTCACAAGAAGGGCCTCTGTCAAATTAGTTGCAAGGGTGGCTCATACAGGTAATACCTGACTGGTTAGACTGGGATCTTGGAGGGGATTTGGGTTTACACCAGGTGTGGGATGTGGCAAACAGGCGAGGGAAACTCTGGGGTGCATCCCGAGCGGGTCAGGATCACTCTGGTTTTTGGTACATGGCAGCATTTTCTTCTTTTGCTGGGGCTTGTGCTTGGCCCTGTGCTAGTTACTGTGTCTTGTGACTTGGATGAAACCCAAGCAAGCGCCGTTCACTGCGACGCTCGAGCCCTTCACACCCCCCCCAGGGCAGGGGGCTGACTGTGCTCTGCCAGCGGACGTGTTCTGACGGAGCAGGAGCTGCGTCAGGGACCAGAGGGTGCGAGCGGGACGGGGGCTCAGCTGTGGGCTGGACCCGGCTGGAGAAGGGTCTGGGGAGGCTGGGGGGGCACCAGGGTGATGCTGCAGTGGGGCTGTGTGTGCTCAGCCGGGGCAGCGAGGCTCTGCCCACTCGGGTGCTGGACCCATGTGCTCCGCTGAATGGTGCTGATCTGTGGAGGTGAGGCAGGAAGTTGGAGAGCAGGAGTCAGGGCTGCCAGCCCCACCTCAGAGCCGCTCGGCGCATCCCGGGGGTGCCTCAGTGCGTCTCAGCGGCAGCACAGGCAGCAGGAACCTGATGGAGCAGTTGTGGAGCCGGTGCTGGCGCCCTGCCCTCATCTCTGCCTCGAGGGTTCTCCTTATCCCCGGCAGCGCTTGTCCAGGGTGTGGGTGATGGTTGCAGGCAGCACCCTTGGAGCCAGGATCCAAACCCCCCGTGGCTCCTCCTCCCTCACAGAGGAGGATCAGCTGGTTCCAGCCACTTGGGACTCCTCACCGAGGTGTGTGCCCAAGCCCTGGTGGCCTGCAGGGATGTGACCGTCCGTGTTACCTGCCGCCAGGAGCAGCACTGGCAGCTCCTGGCCCCTTTCCCAATGTCACTGAAAGGTTCTTTGTTGGACCTTGGGGCAGCTTTTGTGTGCCCGGGACTGCTTTGCTTGCCTGGTGCTGGGTTCTGTTCGAGCTCCATCACCCCGCTGTGGCCTCCCCTTGCAGGGGAACAGGGGCTCCAGGGCTGTTTGGGTGGCTAGGAACTGGGGGATCTGGTGAGTGCGAGGCCGTGCTGCCAGGGGATGTGTCGCCATCAGTCCTGGTGGTTTCCCAGCCCTTTCTGACGGGTGCTCTCTGGTTGCAGACATGCCACGGGCAAAGCTCAGCATGGAAATTTCCTGGTGGCTATCAAGCAGGAGAAGGGAGAGTCGACACGGACAAGTGGCGAGAAGCCGCACAGCGAGGAGGAGGGGAGCTCCGGTGGCCACATCCCTCC